ACAGACTGGGAAAAGATATTTAGTAATGACATCATGGACAAAGGACCAATTACTAAAATCTAGAGTCTTTTACAAGCCTACAAGAAAGAAATGAATAACCTTCTGAGAAGGTGGGGAAAGCACCTGAGCGGATGATCCACAAAGGGTGACTCCCAAATGGCTAATCAATACCAGAGGAAATGCTCCCAGTCCCTAGCCATCCTGGAAATTAAAGTCAAACCTAATATGATCGACAACCTAATGGCCATAACAATAGCCCAATTTTTAAAAAGGAAGAGAATAAACAAGAACAACAAATGTTGGAGAGGGTGTGGTGAGACTTGTAGTGTCCACCACTGCTGGTGGACTTGTAAATATGTACAGCCACCATGGAAGGAAATATGGCGATACCTAAAATAGATGGCAATTGAAATACCATATGATCCAGCAATACCATTACTGGGCATCGACCCAAAAGAAATAAGAAAGAAACCATGAGTAGACGTTTGCTCCCCCATGTTTATTGCAGCACAGTTCACAATAGCAAAAAAGCTGGAAACAGCCTAAATTCCCATCAGTAAAAGAGTGGATAAAAAAGCGCTGGAATATACACACAATGGAATACTATGAATCCCTAAAAACAGCGATGAAAACGTGAAACACCTCAAGACGTGAGGGAGCTGGATGACATTATGCTGAGTGAAGTGAGTTGAACAAGAAAGGACAAATACTGTATGAGTCTACTGCGGGAGGAATAAACAACAGAACAGGCACAAGCTCAGGCTTGTAGGGCATTCAGTCTTCTGGCTGAGGGGCCAGACATCCTGGTGAAGAGCCTGACTGCTGCCAACGAACCATACACCATCCGCTCTAGGTAAGTATTGTGTAGGTCATTGGCTGGAGGGCGCCTCAAGTTAGCTGGGATCAAAAGATGTGTGTGGGAGGGGGGTGCTGTCTGCTGAGTGGCTGCCATGTGGATCTGTGGTGAGGTCCCCCAGAAAGGGAGGTGGCCCTGTCAGAGGGATGAGTCTTACTGGTGGGAGGGGCAGCACAGGAGAAGAGTGTGGTCACACTTGGGGGACTATAGGTGCATGTCTGTTGGGGGGAGGAGAGGAAGAACCGATGTCCAGGTGAGGGAAGAGTTACTGAGGATGCTTTGAGGGTCTCTAGGTGGGGAGTGTCTGGTGGCGTGCATTGGGTTGGCAACATTGAACTAGGGCATCTGGGAATATCCCAGGGACACAAGCTGGGTGTCATGGAACACCCTGACACTGAATCCGGGATCTTTGGGGTGCAGTGCATGCTTCAGAGGCTTCACTGTGAAGTACCGCCCCACTGGGTGAGCTGGACTCTCCCTCAGACACATTTGTAACCTGAGGAGTTAAGTCAGAAAATGTATGGGGTTGAGGAAGCAGATGACAGCTGTACCAAGAGTGGTGTCCTGCTAGTTGGAGGACTAACAAGGTCTTGGCACATCAGCACCCTACATGCTATATTAACACGTGTTATTCCACAAACATTCTGTTTGTGCTTGTTTATATTAGGGTGTATCTCAGAGGTGCCATGCCAGTGGGAGTCACCTTCTTGAAGTTGTGCTATTGGTTTTCATTCATGAAACCCAGGTTTGATGAATGAGGTAGTTAGTTTATTGTGCCAACCTGGCCAATAAACACAGGTGGGGTTAATTGAAAGGCAGAGGGATAAATGGCTCGGTAAGCCTCACCTTTCGAGTTCTCGGGTCTCTTGCTTTCTGATGGTCAGACCAGGGTGAAGCTTCCTTGGCCAGTTCCCTGCTTCAGCTGGCAAGGCTCACTTCCTGCAAGACATCCCTGAGGAGAAGCCACAAGGACCTGCCCCGATGCAGCCCTGGGTGCTGGAGCAGCCGTGTGGAGACCCCTGCCAGCGTTGAGATGCTTACATGTTCACTGACTCAGCTTTCCTCCTGCAGTTGGCATCAACTGGCGTCTGTTTTTTGAGATGGAGGAGGACTGGTGTCAGATATGGGTTAATGGGTTGATGTTGGACTTGTGGGCTTGGGCAGCACTGGGTTGGGATGTTTTCTTGATGCATACTTAACCTTTATATAAAACTCTCTCTTATACATGAGTTTCTGTGGATTTGTTTCTCTAATGTACCCAGACTAGCACAATGAGCCTATAGGGGCAGCAAATACAACAAGGGTTGGAGTGGGGGTTACAGGGGAGGTGGGTATAAAAGGTCCATAATGTCAAGGAGTCCAAAAAGGAAAATTATTATGTTTGGAGACTGATTTTGTAAGCAGTCATACAATTCTTTCTGATGTTATTGAACTAAGGAATGATATGACAAATGTATGAACTCCCAAGTAATAACAAATTAACAGAAAAATCATAGATCTAGAAATGGGTTTTAGGCTCACACTAAATCCTAGCTCCAACTTAAGAACAAATAGTTCTTACATCATGACCCTGCTCCATACTCGCCCTCAGGAAGGGAACACAGAAGATAAGAGTGCTTTAGCAAAGTGTGGCCAAGAATTTAGATGGTGCCAGCTATCAGATAAAATAGTGCCTGAAACCTTAAATGCTTGTGTCCAAACAAGCAGCCATCTAAATGAGTTGTCAACTAAGTCCACATGGAAGAAGCATACCATCGTCAGTCACTGAAGGATTGGAATCCCTATAATCTGAAGTCAAAGGAGGCATCAGTATCAGAGCCTAACTGTGAGAATCTGGTGTGCAGAAGGCGATGGGTGACAGTGGGACCCAAGATACCTTTGTGGGAACTACATAGGAAATAAGCCACTGGAGAACTCCCCCTATCTAAAATTGAGGGGTGGGAGGAAAGTGGTCACTAAACAGGGTTTGGAAGAGATGAGTATAGGAAATTAAAGATAGAAATCTTCCTTGAACAGTTAAAACTTTGTCAGTAGACCCCACCCCACACCCCACACCTCTACGGCCCCCAATGATACAGGCTGGTCCAGATCTGGTTTCTAAAATCTTCTGTATTTTTGGTTTGTATTGTTTTGTTTGGGTTTTGTATGGTCATACTGGGGTATATCTCAGAGGTGTTATGTCACTGGAGGGCACCCTCTTGAAGTTGTGTTATATGTTTTTCCATTTTTCGGTACATGAAACCCAGGATTGATGAACCTATAGGGACAGCAAGTAGAATAGGGGGTTCTAGTGGGGCAGGAGGTGGGGTTACAGTGCTGGTTGGGGGACCATGTCAAGGAATTCATGTAGAAAAAGAATGTTTGGAAATTGATTGTGGTAGCAATTGTACAATTTTGCTTGATGTGATTGAGCTATGGAATACTATATGTATTAAATCCCCAATGTAAGATCGAGCCCCACATTCAGATGGGTTCTAAGGGGCTGTTGTGTACTTGAGAGGTCAATAAAAGAGACCTGGGAGAATATATCAACACCTGTGCTCAACATCTCCAACAATGAGAATAGGAGCAGCAAAATGAGCCAGGAGTCACCAGAAAAAATAGCAAAGATTTTTAGAAAAATAAATAAAGCAGAAGGGAGGAAAATACTATGCTCAACAAAGCTAGAAGTTATTGGGGGTTTTTATTTGCTTCTTTTCTTTTAAGAATTACTAAAATCAACAAACCACTAGAAAGTCTAGCCATGAAAAAGAAGAAAGAGATGCATATAAATAAGAAATGAAAGGGGGAGCAGTGAGGATAAGTGTGGGGGTGGGTGGGGGGACATTAAGGGGCAACCGATCACAATGACCGACATATGGCCACCCCCTCCCATGGGGACAGACAGCAGAAAAGTGAATAAAAGTAGACAGCGGTTGGTGCAAGACATGAAAAATCAAAATAATAGTTTATAAATTATCAAGGGGACGTAGGGTGGGGTGATGAGGAGCCGATGCCAGGGGCTCAAGTAGAAAGAAAATATTTTGAAATGGATGATGACAATGTATATACAGACAATGGATATATGTATGGATCGTGATAAGAGCTGTAAGAGGCCCCAATAAAATTTTTAAAATAAATAAATGAACTAAATATCATGAAGATCCATACACAAACAAATTTGGAAATCTAAAAGAAATGGATAAATTTCTAGATCTGCATTATCACCTAAACTAACATGGTGTGAAGTAGAAAATTTGAATAAGTTCAAATATGGATACAAAAATTCTCAACAAAATTCATTAGAATCCAGAAACATATCCCTCCCCAAAATACATCTTAACAAAATAGGATTCGTATCAAATATGCAAGTATGGTTCAATATTAGAAAAACAATTAGAAAAACACCACCTAAATAAAACAAAAGATCATGTGGTTCTCTGCATGATCAAATGGAAAGCGCATTTGTCCAAATGAGATATATATTCCTGAGAAAATTGGGTCCAACAATTTAAAGATGGAAGAAAATCCCTCAAAGTAATTAATTATATCTATACAAAAACCAACAGCCAACATAACTCCGTACAGAGAGAAACTGCAAGCATTCTCTTTGTGAACAGGTATCAAGCAAGGAGAACAGTTTGTCACTTAGCCACACCTGAACTTGATAGTAGCCTTGAGTATTTCCAAAACCTGTTTAAAAACACCCAGAATTTAAGAGAATCCTGATTTGTGCAACTTTTATCACCCAAACTGGAAAATTCTCAAGAAAATACTGTAGAGGGATAATTTACATGCATTGCTAACACAAGATATGAAGAAATGGTTTATGCTGGTGAAGGTCAATGCTTGTGGCACCAACTACCTCTCAATACGTAAGTTCTTGAACACTCTGGTTTTTCCTTAGGTGCCTAAGAGAAAAGCTGAAGAGGCAACCAAAATAGGTATTGACGTTGGGTTTCGTCATATTGATTCAGCTTATGCGTACAACTGTGAAGAGGAAGTCGGACGAGCCATACGGAGCAAGATTGCTGATGGCACTGTAAAGAGAGAAGACATATTCTACACGTCCAAGGTACTGCGTGTGTGATTTGTATATGTGTGTATATTTAGGAAGTGATGGTGTATGGTAATTAGTTATACAACTCTTAGAGTGATTTGATGAACTATGTTTATTTGTCTGACTTATATTCACACATATTTTTATATTAAAATTAAAATCAAAAGAGGAGGCAGGAGACTTTCAACTGTTCCTCTGCACAAATTTTGTCACTTGAAAATATTGTATTTTCTGAGCCTCAGCTAAAGCAATATCACTCTGCAGGGATGCTAAAATCATACAGCTCTATGGCCAGATTATATTTAACACTATGGCATGGTAAAATTTCTTAAGGTTCAGAATCTCAAGTCTCATTTTGTCAAGGTAGAGAACAACAAAATAGATGTATTTGAATATTATACAAAATACAGTTAAAGTTCTTAACTTGTGCCCAGCACATGTAACATATTCAAAACATTATTTCCTTCAGTTATCTACATGAAAAGGATACTAATTCTTCATAGGATTTTAGACAATGTTTGTGACGTTACCTTTTATAGTCTAATAAATCTCATTCATATGATGGGCATAATTTTTACTTGATAGCAATTTTTATCTCTTGAGAAATGTCCTTCTATTGTTCACAAATGTAATAATAATACATTCAAGCTAGCAATAGCACTTTATAAGTACATCAGATAAAAGGAAAATGCAAGAAGAAAGGGAGTTTTTACCACCGTGGTCATCTAATGTTCAGCTAGTAGAAAAATATAAATATTGGAAAAAACAAGCTGATAGCTTTTCAAGAGCTAAGAAAAAATGGATGAAGTTCATCTCAGTGCCCATGACCTGTAATGGGATTCTCCCAGCAGTTATATTTCAGTGTTCAACTGCTGTCTTCAGTACCTGGAAGTAGACCCATACCACTCATTTATTTTTATTCTGTCTGTTGTAGTTATAGTGATCATTTCAAAACGAAGCCCACATATTTTAAGTATCTCAGTAAAGGACTAAGATTCTGAATAAGGCATAAAAATGAGTTCTATTCCTACTGATTACATTCCAGGTTTATACTCATTCTGTCCTCATTAATGACCCAACTTTACCTTCGTACTAACAATGATGGTAAACTAAGTTCACCTTTGAATTTGCTGAATCAGTCACAATCCCTATGTCTGTTCATTAAATTGCCTAAATGTGAATCAAACACAACTTTCATTTTTAATTTTTGCAGCTTTGGGTTACTTTCCTTAGACCAGAGTTGGCTCAGTCAGCCTTGGAAATTTCACTGAAAAAACTGCAGCTGGACTATGTTGATCTCTACCTCATTCATTACCCAACAGCTCTGAAGGTCAGCAGTTTTCACAATTAAACCTAGTTCACTTTTACTGTCAGTATGAACATCATCTTGCATGACTGGTTTAAGTTTTGTTGACAGAACACATGGCCTATTTTTCTGGGGCAGATTCCAAAATAATAACTAGTGATTCGAGATTGATCTTGTTTGGTTCCAGTCCCTAGTATTGGACTATCCTGTGTTTAGAGGGATAATGAACTCTGATTTTGCAGTTATATATCAGTCTGCATTTACTTCGCAATCCGTTATAGCTAGAAATTAACAGTATGTGACTTATTGTCTTCCCAGTGAAAAAAAAGCATTTGACAACAACAACAAAAATTAAAGCAAGAGATAGTGGACAGATAAACGTTAACATAACCAAAATATGAGTCCCAATTTATATTGAGGAAAGTGACAATTATTCAAATGTATACTGCTGTCTTCAGTATATGGAAGTAGACCCATACCACTCATTTATTTTTATTCTGTTATAGGATAGAGTTATAGGAAACCTGGTTATTAAATATATATTCCTTACAACTTGATACAGAAAACACTTTGCAAGTACAAGCGTCTGGAGGTTGGCTCCACCTTCCTTAGGGATGAAGGTGTAGTGTCCTAGCCCTAGCTGCTCCTGACAGCATGGCTCACTGTGGAGACAGTAGTATTATAGTGCCATCGCTCTAATGACTGCTTCTATTCCAGCCTGGGGAGGAGATGATACCAGAAGATGAGCATGGAAAAGTCATATTTGACACAGTGGATTTCTGTGCCACATGGGAGGTGAGTGCTTAGACAGTAAAGATGAAGCAGCCAGTAGAGAGGGAACCTAATTCACATCTTTCATCTGTGAGAAAGTCAATAGATAGCCCTTGACTTCACATTTATCATCTTTAAAATCCAAACAATCTCAGCACCTTCAGTCAATTCTGACTCATAGCAACCCTATTGCACAAAGTAAACCTGTCCTTGTGGTTCTCCAAAGCTTTAAATCTTTTTTTAATCATTTTATTGGGGGCTCATACAGCTCTTATCACAATCCATACATCCATCCATTGTGTCAAAGCACATTTGTATATCTGTTGCCATCATCATTTTCAAAACATTTTCTTTCTACTTGAGCCTTGGTATGACCTGCTGACCTTGTGGTTGGCAACCCAACAGAAAACACACTATGCCACTAGGGATCCTATCCTTAAACCAAGAACTGTAAAACTAATCTCTTGGAGCTCTATAATTCTACTTATTCTTTAAGTGGCATTTGTATGGTAACACAGAATGTGATCACACTCCTCAAAAGAAGTTAGCACAATCTCAAGGTTATTGACAGTGTAAGCCAGTAAAGGGACTCTTCAAATTGTGAGCTGATGACATTTTGCACATGGTCTTGAAGGCTACGGGATATTGGATGGCACATTTAGTTAAACTGATACAATCACTTTTAGTTAGCACGTACTCTCAAGACTAGTGATCACATGGCTCGTGCCAGATTTCAGAAACAATAGAGATATTTGGAACATCAAATACAATACTAACTCTAGCCTAAGCTGCCCCTGGAATTGACAGAAAAGTATTGTGCAACTTTAAAGGACTTTTTCACAGTTTTGGAGCCCTGAAATAAAATTTGCTGAAAATGCTTTTGTTTAGTAACTATCATATCTGGGATGTCTATTACCATAAACTAGGTAGCTAAATCATCTGTGAAACACAATTGCACTAGTAAATGAAACCAAGGAGAATATGGCATTTTAGTTCAGTGACTACCATGACCTTTCTCTTCCTCTAGTGCCCTTTGCTCTGTGTCTGGGAAATAAATCTCTTCATTTGTAATAGCAGAAATGAGAGAGATTCCCCCCTTAGGCTTCCTCATTGCTCTGGCTACCAGCCAGATCTATAATTCGGTATGCTATATAATGTGTACTATGTGTTGACCATTTCACCACCTGCTGCTTTCTGGAGTCCAGCTGAAGACATTCTTACAGCATTGCTATATTCTATGAACATTATATGTAGGAGCCCTGGTGGCAGTTCGAAACCACCAACTCTCCGAGGGAGAAAGACTGTTTTCTACTCTCATTGAACAAAATCAAAACAAGCCCAAGAGACCCAAATATGACCTTGAGTGCATCCCGCCTGAATTTCAAACACATCTCAAAAACAAATTAGACCCATTGAACACTAATGACAAAAGACCTGATGAGCTGTGGGAGGACATAAAGGCCATCACTCATGAAGAAAGCAAAAGGTATTTAAAAAAACAGGAAAGTAAGAAAATGTCAGTGGGTATCAGAAGGGACTCTGAAATTTGCTTTTAGACTCTGTAGAATAGTAAATGCAAATGGAAGAAAGGAGGAAGTGAAAGAGCTGAACAAAAATTTGAAAGGGCAACTCAAGCAGACAAAGTCAAATATTATAATGAAATGTGCAGTGACCTAGAAGTAGAAAAACAAAAAAAGGAAGAACATGCTTGGCATCTCTGAAACTGAAAGAACTCAAGAAAAAATTCAAGGCTCTTGTTGCAATCTTGAAAGGTTCTATGGGCAAAATGTTGAATGATGCAAGAAGCACCAAAAGAAGATGGAAAGAATATAGAGTCACTGTACCAAAAAGAACTGGTCTACATTCCACCATTTCAGAAGGTAGCATATGAGCAAGAACCAATGGTGCTGAAGGAAGAAGTTCAAGCAACACTAAAAGCATTAGCCAAAAACGAGGCTCCTACTGGAAGCATTCACTTGTCAATGGCAGGAAATTTGGAAGAGAGTCACTTAGCCAACTAACAGGAAGAAATCCATATTTGTACCCATTCCAAAGAAAGGTGACACAACAGAATGCTCATATAACAGAACCATATCATTGATATCACAGGCAAGTAAATTTGCTGAAGACAATCCAACAACAGTTGGAGCAGTACATTGGCCGGGAGCTGCCAGAGGTCCCAGCTGGATTCAGAAGAGGACAGAACAAAGGATATCATTGCTGGTGTCAGATTTATCTTAACTTGAAGCAGAGAATAACAGAAAGATGTTCACTTGAGTTTTATTGACAATGTCAAGGCATTGGACTGTGAGGATCATAAAAGAAAAATGATGGATAACCTTGAAGAGAATGGCAATTCCAGAACAGTTCACTGTGCTAATGCAGAATTTGTACATGGATCAAGAGGCAGAGATGCGAACGGAACAAGGGACTATTACATGGCTTATAATCAGGAAAGCTTTTCCTCTGGGTTGCATCCTCTCACTATACTTCTTCAATCTGTATGCTGAGCAAATATTCAGAGAAGTTGGATGATATGAAGAAGAATGTGTCATCAGGATTAGAGGAAGGCTTATTAACAGCCTGTGATATGTAGATGACACGTTTACTAATGAAGATCAAAGAACGCAACCTTCAGCATAGATTACAACTCAAAGTAAAGAGGATCAAAATCTTCACAACTGGACCAATAGGTAACATTATGATAAGTGGAGAAAAGATTGAAGTTGTCAAGGATTTCCTCTTGCTTGGATCCACAATCTATGCTCTTGGAAGCAGCAATCTAGAGATCAAAGATGTGTTGCATCAGGTAAAGCTTCCGCACAATACTTCTTTAGAATCTTGAAAAACAAGGATGCTACTTTGAGGACTAAGCTCTGCCTGACCTGTGCTATGGTATTCTCCATTGCCCCACATACATGTGAAAGTTGGACATTGAATAAAGAAGACCCATAAAAAATTGATATATTTGAATTGTGGTGCTGGAGAAGAATATTGAAAGTATTATACTTTGTACTTTAGCAAACAAAATACTTTGTTTGCTGAAAGGACAAACAAATCTGTCTTGGAAGAAGGATGACCAGGGTGATCTTTAGAGGCAAGGATGACAAGATTTTGTCTTACATAGCCTGGACATGTTGTCAGGAGAGACCAGTCCCTGAAGGAGAACATCAAGTTTGGCAAAGAAGAGAGGCAATGAAAAACAAGAAGCCCTCAAGGAGCTGGACTGACACCATGACTGCAACAATGGGCTCAGCATAGGAATAAGTGTGAGGGCGGAGCGGGACCCGGCAGTGTTACCTTCTGTTGTGCATAAGGTTGCTCTGGGTCAAGACTGACTGGTGGCACCTTGCAACAACAAATGGCAAAGGGGATAGGAAATGCTGTGGTGGAAGTGAGTGAGTGAGGCTATTTATGTAATACCAATTTCTGAGGAAAGACTTTACTGATATCTAACTCTTTGAGTCGAATCTGTAAAGAAGAGTTTCTAATGGAAACGTATCTGGGCAGAGAGGTGACAGGCAAATTGTGCATTTCTGTGATGCTAGTGCATATCCACATTGTCCAATAGGTAATCACTAGCCACAATTAAGTATTTAACAATTAAAATATGGTTCAAATGCTATGTGGATAACTGACTGGGAAGCCTAAGAGTAAAACCAGAGGGATCAGATAGAGTTTCATGACACTACCAAGTTTAGAGGTGATGGTATTGTGGGATAGAAGATGTGAAGGTGATAAGTAGTTAATTCTAGAGTAGTTGTCAAATTAAGGATGACAATATTTTCATGTATTCGGATGTAGGATATAAAACAAATAGAAACACCAACTTGCCCAGAGGTCCTTCGTTTGAACAAAGCACTGTGGTTGGTGATGCTCACCAAGACAAAGATTGCAGGACGAACAGGTGGTGAGGGAGACCAGGAGCTAAACTGTGAACATGTCGTTTGAGATGCTTAATCTTAGATCTAAATAAGATGATGAGAAGTTCTTGTATGTGGGAGTCTGAATATTTAGGTGTAAGGGTAAGTGTAAGGAGTCCTAGTGACATAAGTTATGCCTTTGTCTGCTAACCTCAAGTTCAGCAGTTCAAAACCACCAGCCACTCCTCAAGAGGAAGATAAAGCTTTCTGCTCCCATAAAAATTTATGCCGGACGGTGGAGGGAAGGTAGGGTAGAAAGGGGGAGCTGATTATAAGAATCTACAAATAACCTCCTCCCTGGGGGATGACAACAGAAAAGTGGGTGAAGGGAGACATCAGACAGTGTAAGATATGACAAAACAATTTATAAATTATCAAGGGTACATGAGGGAGAGGGGAGCTGGAAGGGAGGGGAAAAAATGAGGACCCGATACCAAGGGCTCAACTAGAAAGCAAATGTTTTAAGAATGATGAGGGTAACAAATGTACAAATGTGCTTGACATACAATGGATGGATGGATGGATTGTGATAAGAGTTGTATGAGCCCCCAATAAAATGATTTAAAAAAAGAAACCTAAAAAAATTTTACAGCCTCAGAAACCCACCAGGACACTTCTACCCTGTCTTCTATAAATTGAAATTAACTTCATGGCAGTGAAATTGGGTAGACCTAGAAGATATATATCACTGGGAGATTTAGGGATATAGCTGATATTTAAAATCATGCATATTAATAGATCACTGCAGAGTGAGATAGATAGAAAAGTGAAGCGGTCTAAGGACTGACTCATGGAGCCTTTCGATATTAAGAGGTCAAGGAGAGGATGAAGCTCCCATAAGGGAAGCAGATTGGAAAGTAAAAGGAGACTCTGGAGAAATGTCACAGGCAAAAGTAATCAACTATGGCCTAGCCCGCTAACAGGTCAAAGAAATATGCACCTTCAGAGTTAGCAACTCAGGATGTTGACCTTGGGTGTTTTGTGGCCTTGACAGGGGGAGGAGCTTTGGGACAATTGAGGGCTGTGAGTACAGGTCACTCTTTCCCTCAATGGCCAAACTGTCTCTTATTTTCTTAAACATGAAATACTAAATCTATTCTTGTCACTCTCTTTCTTTTCTTTTTTTTCTACATTACTTTTGCTCTTCATGACAATCAACATCAATCTGTTTCATAGTCATTTCTTGGCAGTTCTCTCATTGATTCTTATTCAAGGAGCAAATCAGACAGATTATTTCTCATAATCCCTTCCTCCTCAGGTCCTGGAAAAGTGTAAGGATGACGGACTGGCCAAGTCCATTGGTGTATCCAACTTTAACCACAAGCAGCTGGAGATGATCCTGAACAAACCAGGGCTCAAGTACAAACCTGTTTGCAATCAGGTGAGCCTGTCCGCCCAGCAGGGCTCCTGCTTTCTGCTTTTCACTCTCTTTTCTTCTCTCCTTATGCCAGCCATCCGCCCTTCCTACTCACCTTACCTCTGTGAACCAGAGGGTTCTAGAAAGCCAGACCTCTGTCTACAGGGCACTGGTAGAACCAGACACGTGTTAAGCGTTTGTGTGGTTTGGGGATGCTTGAGCTCTTCATCTGGTTATGTCGACTTCCAGAGGTACGTGACCAAGCAGTGGGTTAGCTTTGGGCTGCTAATCGCAAGTCAGTGGTTGAAACCCACTCGCTGTCCCACAGCAGAAAGAGGAGTCGGCCTGCACCTGGAACACAGACAGCCTTGGAGACCCTCAGGAGTACTTCTGCTCTGTCCCAGAGAGTCACCATGAGTCGCAGAGGACTCGTGGCGGTGGGTTTTGCAATTGGTTTTGATCCAGGGAGCACACCCATGGGAACAATTGTGGTTCACAGTAACCACAAATTATTAAAGCTCTCCAAGATGAAGTTACAGTTAATTGTGATAAAAGAGAAGAAAATCAACTCTACAGAACATTTAGCATTAAAAGGGGCAGATCTAACAAGTGACTAAATCTTAGTCTGTTCTCCTGGATTTCAACTATTAAATTAGTTGCTTAAACATATCTGTTTTGCTGAACACTTTCAAAGTTGTGTTATACACATGACACTCACAAATCCATTTCATGCTGTCTACATGCCCATCTTGGTTACCTAGTGTTGCTAAGATACAATATCACAAGTAAGTGTCTTTAAATAACAGAAATTTATTTTCTCTTAGTTCAGAAGGCTGGACATTCATATTCAGATTTTAGGGCAAGGTCTTTCCTTGTCTATTCCCATTTCTGGTAGCTACTAGAATCCTTGGTATTCCTCGTCTTATAAACCTATCTATCTCTCTTATCGGTCTTCGTCTGTCTTTGTGTACAGTGAACCCTCGCCACTTCGCGCTTCGACTTCCGCGGCTTCACTCTATCGCGGTTTTTGCGTAACAGCGCATGCTCTGTCATTACTGCCACTGATTGGCTCATACTGTACACGCTTGATGCCATAAATAATATAATAAATAATAAATGATAATTGTAACGTCCAAAATGTTTTACTGTATTTTCCCTTTTTCGTTTAATAAATTGGGTAATACCAGTGTAATGGTGACTAAAGGGTGTTTTTTCATGTCCTCTATGCTCTAACTACGAAAATATTTGATTTACAAATAAGGAATCCTACTTCGCGGAATTTCATTTATCACGGTAGGGTCTAGAACCGATTAACAGCGATAAACGAGGGTTCACTGTATCTGTATTTATTCTGCTCCTTTTATATTTCAAAAGACTAGGCTTAGGATCTACCCTACACAGAGACAGCCTCATTAGCAAAACAAAAGGAAATAATCCTATTTCAAAATAGGATTAGAAGTACAGGTTTTACAATTTCAGCATATGTGTTGGGGAGAAACAATTCAATCCATAACAAACATCAGCAATCATCTCATAAGAATGAAGATATTCTGTTATGTACATTATTGTATCAAAGAAAACATGATATTTTGATATTATCTAATATCTAGTCCATATTCAAATTTCCCAATTTTCCCCCCTCCCCCCCAAATCTTTTCTACTTCTTTTGTTTTAACCAGGATCCCTTTGTGGCTCACATATTACTTTCTGGTTTTTTCTCAAGCTCTAAATCTTCAACAATAATTCAGCTCTCTTGTAGTCTGCAATAGCCAAATAGGTTATTATAAAATATTCTGGATTTATCAGGTTATTGCCTTATGATATGTCAACATGTTCGTTTTGCCTCAGCATCTATAAACTAAAAGTTAGAGTTGAAGACACTCTTAGATCCAGGTTAAATATTTGGGGCAAGAAAATTTCAAAAGATTGCTGTGTCCTGCAAATTGCACCCCAGGAAGATGCATATATTGACAGATTGTTCCACTGAGCATGATAAGAAATTTCAACCCTTGGATAGCTACATCTTCTCTTTGTAATCATATGTTTTTCTTTAATTAGCAAATTATATGCTGGTTGATCCTTTGCGTCAAAGAAAATCATGTTCCCCAACAAATTTACACCTAATGGTTTACTGATTATTTTTACCAAAATCACTTATTTTTATGGGCTTCATAAATAATTATTTGTCTCATTTTTTACCTCATTCTTTATATTGTCCTTACCTGACTTTTTGTACAATGAAAATAATCACTATTAACTCAGGATAAAATACAAGTATTTCTTATCACAGGTTAAATATTTGACTCTTCCCCTTCAAGCATTAATATTGAGGAAAAGCAGTTGCTACAATAATTACCTTCAATGGGTAATTATTTCCCTTTCTCTGTCTCTCATCCATATTGATTCAGTCACTTTTATTTATTCAAAATGTTAGAAATTATTTGTAATTATTCTTTTTTAAATAGTTGTATTGGTATATAATTCTCATATCATACAACTTAATCATTAAATCACTAGTCATTATTCCTTTGATGGTCAAATCTACCCAAATCTACTCACCAACCTTATTCTTCATTCTTTGCATGTGCACCTGTATGTATATTCATGATTTGATGTACAGGATATAGAGTTTTATTCCTACCCCAGATCCAGAACTCCCTTTCTCTCCTTGTGACAGCTAATGGTATTTTGTAACCAAGAACTATTCAACAGACATATTTCTCCTCTAGAACATCTTTTTTTAAAACTTTTTCAGTGGACCAATAAAAAAAGTAAACGTTTTTCCAATCATTTGTTCAAGTTGGTGCTTTTTTTGGTCATTTTATTTATTTATCTAATTTATTGAATTGAGAGTTAGTACACATATCATTCCATAGTTCAATCACATCAAGCAGAATTGTACAATTTTTACCACAATCAGTTTCCAAACATTCCTTTTCTTCCTGGACTCCTTGACATTGTCTCTCTTTTACTCCACCACCACCACAGTACCCACCACCCCTGCCCCTGAAGCCCTTCTTGCACTTGCTTTCCCTATAGGTCATGTTGGTGTTTCTAATTCAACTTGAACACTTTGTTCCACTTCTGTGACTGTTATCCTTTCCCTGGCATTGTAAGACCACATTCTCATATAATCTGACATCTTTCTGCAGGTGGAATGTCACCCTTACCTCAACCAAAGCAAACTACTGGATTTCTGCAAGTCTAAGGATATTGTTCTGATTGCCTATGGTGCCCTAGGAACCCAGCGAGACAAACGGTGGTAAGGAGGATAACAGAATTTACCTAAAGTATCATTATTAAAGAAACATTTTACTTATACCATACCATAGTTCATGGCACAAACTCTCAAATGGAAGAATAAATGGGGGGAAACTACATAAATATTTCTGTATAATCTCATTATCTAACCCAATGCTTATAATCATAAGTCTGGTTAGAGATAGTCAATGATAAGTGGCTGCATTTAAATCTATACATTAAGTCAAATACTGAGGCAAAAGACATAAGCTCAAGTCATGGTTTTGACATTTATAAATAATTGGTACTCCTTAATAATAGAAATGGTAAGAGAAAAGGGAGCACTTTGGATAATTTTTATTTTAAAATCTCACTAACATTCTCCATGAGCTTCTATGTCTAAAATCAGGAGAGTAATAAGTTAACTCCCACATCTACAAGAAAAGGAAGAAATTACTGTTTTGTATACTTTTTGTAAACTTCTGTACAAATATTACACACAATAATTAAAAAGGAGAATGAATAATTCTCATTTATGGCCTATCCAAATTTCACCAATACCTTAGAAATTTTAAAATAAAAATTAACCCAGAATGCCCCTTTCTGTTCTCATTTCTATGTCACTTCCCTGGGGGCCGTGGCCACAGAAGAAAACCAGCCACTGGGAAGTCGAAGAAATCCAAGGGCCTAGAAGCACTGTTCTCAAACTTAGAGAGCATCAAGATCACCCATAGGGCTATTCAAAACACAGAATTCTGGACCTCGATCCTCTCTGATTCAATAATTTCATTGATAGCCTAGAATTTGCATTTCTAACATGCTCCCAGGTGATGAAGATGATCTTGGTCCAGGGATACAAATGGAAAACCACTGATATAGAAGGGACCACCTTAGTCTGTTGTAGATACCTCCTAGCAAATTGAAAACTCAGCTCGAGTATTAATTTCTTCATTTCCTTCTAGGGTGGACCAGAGCTCCCCTGTTCTCTTGAATGATCCAGTTCTTGGTGCCCTGGCAAAAAAATATAATCAAAGCCCAGCCCTGATTGCCCTTCGCTACCAGATCCAGCGTGGGGTTGTGGTGCTGGCCATGAGTTTCACTGAAAGGGAGATCAAAGAGAACATACAGGTAATGAGCAGGACTGTGGGCATCAGAGGGGCTAAGACATTACCTTCAGAAATGTTCTTCTTTGTAAGGCTCAGGACATCTGAGGGTCATGTGGATCTCCCTGACATTTCCCATGCACGTATGCCTTATGTGAATTCACTCGGGTTTTCTCCTTTTGCACTTCTACTTTGGGGAACAAAAAGAATTCTAAAGGGGAGTATCAGGGCTGTAAGGTGGGTGGAGTAAGGTTTCCCAATTAATGAGAGTTCCAGTCTCTTGATATAAAACACAAACAGGTAGCAAACAAACAAAAAGACCCAACAATAATGACAAAACTACACAGAGAAAATCTCAATGGAAAAGAAAGCAGAAAATATTAAAAACTGAAACTATCTTAAAATGGATCAAAAGGGAGATCAGATAATCTGGTGTTACATTTTAACCTAACTACATCTGCCATGGGAGAAAGATAGGGCTTTCTATACCCATAAACAGTTAGAGTCTCAGAAACTCACAAGGCAGTTCTACCCCATCCTATAGGGCCACTATGAGTTGGCATGAGTCAACATCGACTTGATGGCAGTCAGTTTGAGTAGAGTTGACATCTGACATAACTATACAGTGTCTTCTGTCTGATCTCAAGGCTATTCACATCACTGGCCTATGATCAGAGGAGACTCACCTGAGACTTAATCCATGCATGGACCCTGCAAATATATGTTGGGCTTCCACTGTCATTCATAGCCTTTGCAAATTGGGTGTTCAGAATTTAAGCTCTGACACCATTCCCTCCTTCTGGTTTAGATTTTATTATTTACAATCCTTGGATCATGCAGGCTGGTGTCCTTCTTCCATGTGGACTTAGCTGAAGCCTCCGTTACAAGGCTGCTTGTTTAAAGACAAGCATATAAGATCCTAAATGCTATTCTTTCTGATGGCCAGACATCATCTGGTTTCTTCACCAAACATTGCTATAGTATCCATATTTTCAGTGATCTCTTCATGATGGTACATATTGAGCAGGGTCATGTATAAGAACAAATCGTTCAGTTGTATGAGCCCCCAATAAAAGGATTTTTAAAAAACAACAACAAATTGTTCTTAGATTAGGGCTAGAATTCAGTATGAGCCAAAATCCCATATATATGTGTGTGTGTGTGTGTGTGTGTTTGGTTAACTTTAGGGATATCATTATCATTTTATGATAGAGAACATTAAAAATCATCCCCCTGAGGCATACGGTAATTATATTCGTAATATCATTAATTTATCTAATGATGTAGAATTTAAAACACTGTTGAGAAAAGGAAAAAAAAAATATATATATATATATACACACACACATACTTATTAGATCACAATATATGAGTTGTTTACTTGTCCAGAAATAAGCACTTAAGTGACTGGATATTATTAACACAAATAATGGGGATTTCTGATGGGCAAAACTTTCAAAAACACTCATTCACAAAGGCAGAACTGTGCCTACCAGACGAATACGTGTCACAAAAAAGCAAGGAGAACATCAAAATAGTACATAGGTGGTAGTCCTGGCCACTATTCAATGGCACCCTCAAAGCAAGAATCGGAACCAAAGTCCAATAACCACCGATTTCATAGCCTTAGGAGATCAGTCGTCTCCTTCTTCCCACACTAGGGCCTTTCAGCCGTAGTCCAAGGGAGTGTGCCATTCCTTAAGTCTGCTACCGGTGAGTCTGAGGAAAGTCCAGTTCACTTACTGGAGTTCCATCTACCTCAAATCTTTCTGATAAAGAGTGGAATCAGTTACTGCTTCCAAATTTCTTAGCATAGATAAATGAGTGCTTCCAATGTTTCATAAACTTGGTGAAACATTTCAATTGGCATTTCATTAATTCCTTAAACCTTGCCCTTCACTGTAGGTGCTCTGGCAGGGTAGTGGTTATGTTGGACTACTAACTGCAAGGTCAGTAGTTCGAAAGGGCTGAATCTAAAGTCCCAGTTGTCTAGAGCACATGGCTTGAGTCACAAAACTAGTCAAACGTGTCCGATTAGAAACACAGCATTCCTTTACCGATTTTAAAATTGGATTAGTTATCCTCTTGTTGCCAAGATGTTGAAGGTTTTTACCTATTGTAGAGATTAATCACTTGTCCAACAGGTCATTGCCAAATATTTTTGGTTTTCATTTTACTCTCTTGGAGAAGTCTTTTGATGTGCACATGTGTTTACTTTAAAAAGTTCCAGTTGTCGAGTTTGTCCTCTGTTGTTTATACATTTTCAGTTACATTTGATAGTTTATGCCATATATTAGGGCCCCTGAGTTTGTCCCCATGTTTTCTTTGATGATCTCCATAGTTTTCAGTTTTACATTTAGATCTTGGATATGTCATTGAGTTCCTGGCAGCTCTCAGTTGATATATTACTGCAACCATTGTTAATGGTCCTTAGAAAAATTTATTTGCATGTGAAATTAATTTTCTATAATTCCTGCATTGTTTTAGATCACTTTTCTTTGGAATGGGCACAAATATAGATGTCTTCCAGGCAACTGGTCAGTTTACTGCCTTCAAACTTCTTGGCATAGACAAATGAGTACTTCCAATGTTTCATAAACTTGGTAAAACATTTCAATTGGCATTTCATTAATTCCATAAACTTCTTTTTCACTGTAGGAGCTCTGGCAGTGTAGTGTTGGCTACTAAATGCGAGGCCAGCAGTTTGAAACCACCAGCTACTCTGAGGGAGAAAGTTAAGGCGTTCTACTCCGTTATAGAGTTACAGTCCCAGAAACCCACAGGAGCAGTTCTACTGTGGCCTACAGGGTAGCTATGAGTGGGAACTGGCTCCATAGCAGCGAGCTTGGTTTTTGTTTTCTGGAGTGTTTTTTTCAGTTGTTTGTTTTTGTTTCTGTTTTTCTACCACTAATGCCTTTAGTGCAGCATGAACAAAATCTCAACAGGAATTCAATAGACAGATTCAGAAGAGCATATGGAATAAGGGATATCATTGCTGATGTCAGATAGATCTTGGCCGAAAGCAGAGACTACCAGAAAAAAACTGCTTGTGCTGTATTTACAATGCAAAGGCATTTGGCTGTACAGATCACCTCAAACTATGGATAGCATTGAGAAGAATCGAAATTCCAGAACATTTCAATGTGTTCTTGTACATGAACCCAAAGCAAATTATTTGAACAAAACAAGGGTATAGTGTATGGTTTAAAATCAGCAAAGGTGCATCAGCGTTGTAACCTCTCACCATACTTATTCAATCTATACGCTGAGAAAATAATCAGAGAAGCTGAACTATATGAGGAAGGAAGTGGCATCAAGAATGTTGAAAGCCATAGTAACAACCTGTGATACACAGATGACACAACCGCCTTGCTGATGCAGATCAAGGACTACAGTCTTCAGTCGGGATTACAAATCAATATAGAGCAACACAAAAACCTCACAACTAGACCAATCGTGATAAATGGAGAAAAGACTGAAGTTATTCAGTACATTGTTATGTGGATCTTGCTTGGATCCACAATCTATGCTCATGGAAGCAGTACTCAAGAAACCAAGTGCCAAATTACATGGAGCAAATCTGCTGCAAAAGTATTGATGCCACTTTGAAGACGAAGGTGTGCCTGATCCAAGCCATGTATTCTCAATTGTCTAATATGCATAGGACAGTTGGACAACGAATAAGGAAGACCAAAGATAAAGCAATGCATTTGAATTACGGTGTTGCTGAGAAACATCGAAAGTACCCATGGACTGCCAGAAGAAGAAGCACATCTGTCCTGGAAGAAGTACAACCAGAATGCTCCTTAGAAGCCAGGATAGCAAAAGTTTGTCTTGCAAACTTTGGACATGTTATCAAGAAAGACCAAACCCTGGAAAATGACATGGGGTTTGATAAAGTAGAAGGTCGCGAAAAGAGGAAGACCCTTGCTGGGATGGATTGACACAGCAGGGACATAACAATAAGCTCCGAAAGGGGCACTGGGAAAGCATTCTTGTAAGGAGACTAGCAGTCAAGGGGCAAGAGATGCAAGAGTGTACTACTCAAATCCAGTACCTCAAGCACATTCAGCAGCTTAATATTGCCTAATTGAGATCAATCATGGTAGACCCCAAAATCAACTTGTTTTTCCTAAAGATAAAAGGTGAACTGGAACATCCTAAAGACAAACTGGAATATCAACCTGTGTGATCACAGGGTGTCGAACGGATCACTGAAGACAAATGGGTGCATAAGCAAATGTGGTGAAGAAAGCTGATGGTGCCCGGCTATCAAAAAGTATAGCGTCTGG